GGCCCCCCCCCCCCGGCCAGCTCGGCAGCCCCTGCCTTGCTGCCCCAGCCCCGTGGTCCCCGACGCTCGGGCCGTGGGTCTGTTCGGAGCCCGTCCCCCCCCCCATCTCAAGACTGAACCTGCCCCCAGGTGAGTAGCTCTGGGATGTAAACCTTGTATCCTGTTTGCTGCTTTTCTCTAGGCTCACCTGGGTTTGCTCGTCCCCAGCTTCCCCAAGGGGTGGCACTTGGCTGTGGGAGCTACTCCCGCTGCGCTACCCACGGGGCAGTTTCCACTTGTTGTAAAATTCCTTTTTCATGTTCAGGTCACTCACTTTCCAAGCAGGTACACACGTATGCCTTGGTAAATCAGGTACAAAAGATTAAATCAGTTGTCCAAGGTGTGTCAGAGCCAGTTTGTATCAACTGTCCCACCATTGTGCTGGAAATTGTTCATAGCCTGGTACACCGCTGGCAATGCTCTGGCCTACCTTATTTCAGGTTGCAGCAGCTCCTTCATTTGGGTACTGAAAAAGGATCAGCCATGAAACGTTTAAGAAAAAGCAGCAATGCTGAGCAGCTTGAGACTTGTGGCATCTGGCTGGACACTGCAAAGTTAAAGAAGCGCAAAGTACAGGTAATACAGCTATACTGTTTGTGTTGTCATAGCCGTGTACATCCCTTAAACCTACTGCTTGAGGGTCTCTACCCTAAGGAGTTTACGATCCAAGTTAGAGAGCTCAGATGATGAGCTACCATAGCAACAGGAGAGATTGGCAGGGGAAGAAGCCTAGCTTGTTTTTACCTCTCCCTTTTTTTAAAAAGGAGCCTTCACCAAATTGTCTTAGGTGTGGCAGTGGGGAGTATCCTAACAGAGACTAGCAATGCAAGGAAGGATTTAATGGTGAAGAGATAGGATTTGAGACTTATTTGGGGGGGAAGGGTACTTCATTCCACAGTGGTACCACACTGCTTGAAAGGAAATAAAGGGCATAACAAGGAGAGGGGAATTATGTCACTTATGTCACAGGTTTAATTCACTCTAGCACTTCTCTCCCCATCCAGACTCTCATATCCAAGCCAACTTCATACGTGCCAAATCCACTTCTTGAGAAGAACTATAATAGTAATATTTCAATCAATTTACCTCAGCCATGCACCAAGCAAACTACCATCTCTTCATTCTTCAGCATTCAACCAACAGGTACTGTAAAGAAATTTTTTACACGGGGGAGGGGTGGGGAGGAAGGAAGGGGGATTGACCGAATTTCTGTGCAAACATATATTGTCCAGTGAGGACAGAAAATCCACCTAGTGTTATTTCAAGGCATTTTCGATTAGAAGAGTTTAAATTAGAGCAGAGACTAAATCACATGGGATGGGTAGATCAGACCCAAAATGAACAGAGTCCCTTCAGCTCTCTTCCCAAATTTGCCTGATTGTATTCCCTACAAATTTTAAAGGCTGGGATTTTCAAAGGAACCTAATTCATCCTGTATTTGTATAAATCTGGAACTGACGCTACAGTTCACTGATTGTACAAGACTAACATTGATTTACACTTGAACTATCTTACCCATTACCAAGATAGCTTCCCCAATTATCACCTCTAATACCATTAACTCACAAACATCCCACTCTCCCCACCTCTAATATCATCAATTCACAGACACTTACCTTCCTTCCTTTCCCTCCCCCTGCATCCCCCTCCTGTTCTGAAATGTGATTTGTCCTTTTCATATGTGTTCATTTTTTTAAATTGTATCCTTTGGTTTATATGGTTGTGACAATTTTCTTCCACTATTTGATCTAAGGAAGTGGGTCTGGCCCACGAAAGCTCATCATCTAATAAACCATCTTGTTAGTCTTTAAAGTGCTGCATAGTCCTGCATTTTGCTTCAGCTACCCCAGACTAACATGGCTACATTTCTATCACCATTGATTTAAACAAGACCATTGTGCTGTAGAAGGGCTATAGGATCAGGACCTTTGTTGGGGAGGGTAGCACATTAACCCTAAAGTGTTAAAGCTGAGAGGAGATGGTAGGGGAAGGTGTACTCATACTATTGACACATCTCTAATTGGTTTAGCCTACTAGGTCCATCTAGTGTTGAATTTTATCTAACACAGTGTTTCAGTTCTGAAATGCTGACTGTGAGCTAAGCTGTGGCTCAATTCCTATGCTTGGGCTGCTGGAGTGAGCACACCAATGGCTTTGGGGGACCTGAGCCTAGCAGTCTTGATTTTTTTTTTTTTTAAACACACTCAAACTACTATGTCTCATTTTATTTGTCTCTTGTGGGCAGGGCTTGTAACAGTGCTATTCAACCTCTGCTTATGCTTTGTGCTATTGCCAGCTTCCTGTAGATTCAGTGCATGAAGGTTCCTATCCTTGTATTCACTATAGAGTTCTACTGCAAGATTTATTTTAGACTTCCCTTTAGAAAACTTCAAGCAGTAGTTACTATTGTGTTGTAAATATTAGCTCTTTATTCTGAAATTGAGGGAAAGCTGGAATCTTGGGTAGGATTTAGAAATTGCATTATTTCAAATGGTTTCCAAAGCAGGTGTTTCCTTAATCTAGAGATTTTAAGTTCACTTTCCCACATTCCTCGTGCATCACTAGCTTATAAAGAAGGGAAACATCTAATAGTTAATCACTAAATAGCAATCATATCATTTTGATTCACAAGATTAGAAACTTAGTTTTTATTGCACTGTTCATTAGTAAAACACCTCACAAATATACTGTCATCAAAATCACTGCAACTACCTTAGGGGTGGAAAAATAGGCATTACATAACTGCTAAATGCCACAGCCTATTGAAAGTGTAAGGAACATAAGGTAGGTGGAATGTTTTTTTTTTTGAAGCTGGAATTTGACTCTTTGAGGGAGGCTTGAGGAAGAGACAGCACCAAGTAAGGATGTTAAAATGTGGTGACTAGTTGATGGAATTTCCATCGACTAGTCGATAGGCACTTCCGCATTCCTCCCTTGAAATGTACATTTCAAAGGAGGAATGCAGGACTCTAGGTACAGCCCAGAGTCAGGGGGAAGTCCCACTGTCTGAGCTGCATGCAGCGCCTGCTTTGAAATGCACAAGAGCCCCCAGCATTTCAAAACCATGGAACCCGGGGTCAGCTGGGGACTCCCCAGTTGATCCTGGGTTCTGGGGAAGTGCCCCGGGGAGCCCGGGATCATCTGGGAGTCCCCAGCTGCACCTGGGCTCCACAGCAGCTGCCCCTTTGAAATGTGCAGAGGTGGTGTTTTAAAGGGGCAACCACCGCACAGCTGATCCGCAGGGGGATATCAACCAGTCAAAAGACTAGCTGATAAGCAAATGCTTATCTGATAGTCGACTAGTATTTAACATCCCTAGCCCCAAGATGTCATTTCACTTCACCCTCATGGAGGGATATCTTGCTTGATTGTTGCCGCCTTGCTTCCCTTACTGGACCAGCTCTTTCACTAATTTCTGCAAGGAGGCAGAGCTATTAGGATGTTGTGAAACTCATCTGGCTGCATCCAAATCAGAGGAGGGATGGGGCATAATGTACAGTTAGCTAAATCAAATGTGGAGAGGCACTCTGCCACTCATGGCTAAATCTTGAGTTTGAAGAATTTGCATATCAGCCCCGTTGCCTTATTCAAATACTTTTTTTCAGGTGAAAAGGATGAACACTTAAAGCCCTATTCTTTTATGGCAAATACAACTCTCAAAGGAAAAGGCTCTGATTCCTTGGCTGTGAAGAACTGTGTACCTCCTAAGCTAGTGGCAGTCCAGGATCCAACCCTGAGCCCTCAGGAGGCCAACATTCAGGAGTGTAGCCAGCCGCTTGTACAACACACACAAGAGTGGAACATTCCTCTGCTGAACGAAGCACAGTGTAACAGCACGAAGGAGTGCACAGCCATCGCAAGGATCTCTGCTGGTGAGACAGAAGACTCTACCCCCATAAACTTCACACAGGATTCAGAGGGCAATAGGGTTTTAGCTCACAAAAATGCAGCTGACTCATTCCCTGGAAGTGTTTCTGTAGTACATGGAATAATTTCAAGGAAGAGGGAGACTTACTGGACAGGAGAGAAAGAGGGCCTTTTGTGTTCCAAGAGTGGGAGAACGAGAATGGGCCTCAAACCTAAACACGTGATGAAGCAAGGTGGGAAATGCAAAAACCCGCCCTTCAGTGGAATTTCTTGTGTGGATTTCTCAGACATTGAGAATATAAATCCTGCTCCAAAGAGAAAGAAAGGCCAGCAGACCACTCGTCCTCTGCCCCAGGGGCAAACAGCTAAAGCAGAGCTTCTGAGAGACAGTCAAAATTGTACTGGTTTTTGGACAAGAAACTAGCAGAAGAGCAGGGGGGCAGTAAAAATAGTCCTGCTACGCAATTGTTTACCCAGGATTCAGAGGGACACAGAATCATTTCTCATCAGCACTTTGATAAGAATGTCAGATCTCCTTTGCAGAAAAAGTGTCTACAGGACAAAACCAACTCCGTTCACTGGGCAACTAGCCCACCCACTGCAACTTGCTTTAAGGTTTATTCCTCAGGGGCATCGGCCAGGACTCCTTTAGCTACTACAGCCATGAATTCATGTGAGCCTGATTTATGCTATGACTTGCTATTCACAGAGGATTCAGAAGGAAATAGAATGATCAAACATTGAGTCATTTTTGCTGAGAAACTGACACTTTAGTGTACACGAACATTCATCTGACGTCTCCACAGTGCACTGCTTTCTTTATGAAAGACTTATTCCTTGTATACGTGTACCCATGGTAGATACTGCCTATTGCTGAGTGGTCTAGACCCAGACATGTAGGCTAGTTACTCTGCATGCAGACTTGTCTTTGATTAAAAAGAGATTTTGCACACACACAGTGTTGTAATCAAGTTTTCACATCTAGCCCTACTTCTGTGAACACAGTGACCATGTTGTCATACACTGAGTTAGTAAGCCCTTTTGGGGGGAGAGGGGGCAGAAGGAAAGGGTGATCAATTTGCGTATGTGACAAGGCTTGGCTCAGTAGTGGCTCTACCAAAAAACCCCTGTGGGTATCTTTGATCTCATAGGTTGAGGGATAAGAGCCTGTTACTATTCAATTCACCTTCTTTGATCTCATAGGTTGAGGGATAAGGGCCTATTACTATTCAATGCACCATGCCCTTGAGTTAGAAATTCCCATTCTTCTTGTAACATTTCTATTTTGCAATATGGCTAAGAAGCCAAAAAGGCTTCCTGACCTCAGTCCTACAGTGTCCACAAACCAGAAGAGCCACATGGTATGCAGGCTAGCCTGTCTCTTAACCCTCCCTCTTCCCACAGGTAAATGTGCTCTAACAGTGACTGACCCCAGAATTTAGGTTCGGTTGCCCGTGTGTGTTTATTTTTTTAGTCATAACATAAAATTCACTGGTAGATCTTAAAAACGGACAGGACCTGTATATAACTAACAGCCTTGGGATTATTTAAATAAAGAAATTTGTAAAGGACACAGAACCTGTTGCTTCAGCATATTGATAGGTGTTTTGAAGAAACTTACCCAGCACTAATTTGCCTGCAGCTTCCTTTGAAGCATGTAGTATTGGTTACTTGACTCGATGGAGCCCCTGGGCTGATGTTGGGTCATATTTTGTTCTAACCAGACCACAGGGGCTATATACAAAGCCTAATACTTCTTGAGGGGCACAGATAGTGACTCTACCCAGTTCTTACACATTTCTTCCTAAATCTGTCCACTAAATTAGCAGAATTAAGTTACTTGACCCAGCAGCCAAACCAAAGATAATTAGAATCTAGGTGTTCCATCCCTCCTGAAGTCAACTGGTGTGGGGAAGGAAGAGATACACAGCAGGAAATTCGTACCTTGCAAAAGTTTGTAGCTGTGCACAGGGTAGAATCCTAGACTAAGTGCTGGCTGATTGCCAGGAGGGTGTGTAAATAAAGCAAGAGTTCTGTTTCAAAATATGAACCTTGAGACCGCCACTATGAGCAGATCTGGTGTCAATCGACAGGGCTCCAAACTGCCCTAGCAGGGATAGGGAAGAAGTCAGAATAGGAGCTTTCTCGCTGGCCCTACCTGCAGAAGATTTTAACAGCACATTTCCTCCCTGTCTGAGCCAGCTGCTGCAGGAGCAACTTGAATTGAGTGTTTTCCCCTATTTGCCACACTGCCAGGGAAGAGTCTGGCTTAAGGTCTAATTCCTCCTGCTCTGTTGCTGCTGTGTAAGGAGATTAAGAGGCCAATTCACACTCCACTGGGAGGTAGCATGATCATGTAGGGCAGGAATATCACACAAAAATGCCACCATTTGTATTAGCTGACCCACATGTCCCTGTTATAGGGGATCAGGGTCCTATGTTTTCATCTGACACTGCAGCATGCCTACAGCTGTGTGGATATAGATATAGTGTGGGAAATGCGGCTATTCCCTATTTACTCACCAGTTGGTACCATAGCAGAGGATTGTGGGTATAGAATTGTGCAATGCCACACATTCCCTACTGAGGCCTACAATGTGTGCCTGCCAGTCCTCTCAGTCACACTATCCCATCCTACTGCAGAGACAGGGGAACTATTGTGGTTAGACACCAACTGCACATAGTGTGTTTGAGGGAGAACGACAGCGTAGTGTCTAGTTTCCTGCAGCACAAATATTGTGGGAATGCTGCCGTGGAAACTGCTCATTCACTGACATTCCTACTGCTGCTTATTCTAAACACACAGTAAACACATTGAATTTTCAATTCTCTCCTGAGCTGCAAGGATAACAGAGTGACTTCAGACACACACACAACAAAGTACCAGCTTATTGAAAGCAATACTAAGAGACCAGGAAGAGGCAGCCACTGCACTCAGATTGCTGGACATAGAGAGGTCACATGGAGTCAATACACAGAATGATGATCCATGCCATATGCTTCAGACAATCACTGAGGCTCATGCCAGCAACACTCTTCTGTGAACAATGTTTCCGATACAAGCAGAAGATGGTACCAATAAAAACAAAAAACCCACAGTTCTCAGCAACAGCTGTACTATAAAGGAAATCTACAAATATTATTTGACCACCAAGTAGGTGGCTCCATTTATAAGGAAATTCATATACCTTGAATATGGCTGAGAGATATATTAGCATAGCAGGACACTGCAACCTGTGACTCATTTAACTCTTTCCTTTCCTCCCACATGGTTTTCTACAGGATTCACCCCCTAGCTGTGATGGTTCAGTAGATATGCCTTCAGACATTATCTGGATGAAATTCTTACTGAATTTTATGTTAATAAAATAAAATCAATCTAATAGAAAGAACGTGTAAATGAAACACTGGAATTCTTGACAGTTACTTTAGAGTAGACTGTAAGTGTCATGTAATGTGACTTTGGGGACAAGCTTTAAAATATTACAAACTAAAAGTCACCAGCCAACAGCAGCTTAGAAAATAGATCTTGATTAAATGAGACAGGAAAGTAATTGGAAGAAACCTTAGGGAATGGAATCCTCTTTGAGCAAATAATGGAAGCTCTTAACCACCCTCAATACAATGAGAACTTCCTTTAAAAACTGAGGACCCAGAAGGAAGAAATAACATACTCTCATGGATAGCTTTGCACCCAATGTTCCCTAGACAGAGAAACAAGTAGATGCTTTATGTTCATTTATATTATAAATTAGTGGCTAGTCATTGCAACAAGACCATTGTGAATCAAATTAACTTAAATCATTAAAGTCACTTTGGGGAAAACACAGATAAGAGAACTTCATCTAGCAACACTCGCATCACTCGGTGGAAAAAGCGGTTACCAGTAATGCTTCAAAAATGTGGAAAAGAATTTCCCTTTTCTTAGAAAGTTTTGATATATTCAGAGACATGGAAAACACTGCATATCCACAGTTTCCTTTTTGAATAGGTTTCCAGTGCAGAAATCATATTTAGTTAGTGAAGAGGCAAAAAAGTTTTATCCTTAGGAAGGCAGCTACTGTGGAGAAAAATCTCAGGAGCACAATACACTTGCTTACAGAGTTAAATTAAAGTGTAATATCAGTTCTCTTTCATGGTTACATCTTCATCCTTTAGAGCAAATTTTCTTCTTAACACTTCTGATATAAGAACAGCAGGGTCTTCTTCCTTCAATAAAGTTCGGTTCCTGGTGGAGGATACAAAATTAAATGTAACAGCAGCAATTTGGATAGAGATTCTTCAAAATCTATAGATGACACTTTCTGCTAGGCCCAAGTTTTAGGATTTTGTTTACATTTTAAAAATAAGCCTAATTATGAGAAATGTGTCACTGAAACCACTTTTATTTATGCATCTGACGAAGTGGGTCTTTGCCCACTAAAGCTTATGCTCCAATATCTCTGTTAGTCTATAAGGTGCCACAGGACTCCTTGTCACTTTTATTTAAGCATTTTCCTACAGCAATGGGAACCCTGCATGGTTTCGTCAGAGTTGAGTAAAATGCAAAAACTGAATAGAAGACAAAATGAATACAGGCAGTCCCCGAGTTACGCGGATCCGACTTATGTTGGATCCGCAGTTACGAACGGGGCCGTTCCTCTCCCTGGTCTCCAGCAGACCAGGGAGAGGAAGCAAAGCGGCGGAACACAAAGCTCCGCGGCTTGGCTCTGCTTTGCCCCCCCGCTCCCCTCCGCCTCTGGACATAGGGGCACCAGTTTAATAGTACTGTACAGGGCCCCATAAAGGACATCCTAGCCTCAGGCTGCTGGTGAGCTTTTCTTTGTACGTGCAGATGTAAGTTTGTGTTTTTTGTTTAACTTGGGGTGCCTGTATATCCCCCTAAATCAAACAACCCATAAATCCCTGACCCTAATGTGACATGGCTTGAAAACGTGAGGTACATTTTTGGAGGATTTTTCTAGGAAAGGAAACTGGTTTCCCACATCAAAGGAAATAATCTGTTATAGTAATGTCAATAAAAGGCTTTTTAATTGTTTGAATTAAGATTGACTGTTAGCATTTTATTTTTTGCTTGGTGTTCAGTGACTGAGTGAAATGGAAATGCAACATTATCAATAGCAGCAATGTCTTGAACATACTAGCCAATTTAAATGCCAACTTTTTATCTTAATTATACATATCTTCAGATTTTCAAAACAAAGTAATATTGCTAACTGACCAGTTTGGGGCTTGAGAGTAGGAGGGAGGCAGGGCAAAATGACGACAGATTAATCTTGTTCCTCATCCACTTGGAAATTGTGTAAAGAATTCAGCCGCTGTTGAAACTGATCAGTTTCAGCAGCGGCTGAATCTGGATGCCAGTTCCGACTTACATACAGATTCAACTTAAGAACAAACCTACAGTCCCTATCTTGTACGTAACCCGGGGACTGCCTGTGCTGCTTTCCTGCCTAGGCAACGTTCAGTCACAGTTTCCATTAACTTCAAGGGGAAATCATACATCTAAGTGCCCCAAGTGGTGTAGAAATATCTCCGCCTATATTGCACTCCCGCCCACTCCAGTTTTAAATCTGTAATGTTAACACCATGTAAGGAGAAATGTGCAAAATACAAGCTGTGTGTAGGCCTATTTCAGTTCAAAATCATATAACAAATGATCTATGGTGGTAACTTAAAAATGAGGAACTGCTCACTTGCATGTCTTTGTGCAATAAAAAGAGGCTTCTTCAGTTTTACCTCCCCATTTCTCACATAATTCCATGTTAGTTGCATGGAAGGCAGAAGTGGGAGCTGCATCTTAGAAATCCTGGTGATGAGTTTATTTTACAATACGTGAGCCTATTTCACAGGAAACCAAAAGGTCTGAATTATATTGGGTGACTGTTATTTGAAAATAAGTATTCCATGATAATAGCCACTGAGTTCAGGGTTTAATATTTTAGAATAAAAAATCCCTATAGGCTGGAAAACATTCTAGAGTTTTGAAATCTCTTAAAAGCCTCTAAAAGCCTCATTCTAACTAGATGAAAGTTCTAACTAAGTTTTAACTAGATGAAATTATGGTTTGCTGTATTTGTTTTAAACACCTTCAGTCACTTAATCCCACATTTGCACTGAAAACCGCATGGCAAAACTTTTGTTGTTGGGGGTGATGTGGGGTTTAAGCACCTTATGAACAACAGAAGTTGTGTTGATCAGTTGCAAGTGTAAACCTTGCCTAAGTGATCAGATTTAAGTTCACAGACAGGCCTGAAGCCATGGGTTGACCCCCTAGTACTACATGTGCATGCATTGCTTAACTTCAGCTTTGAAATCTTGTAGATAGAAACACTCCTCTGATTTCACCAGAATCAAGGATTCCCTGCCATGAGCGCAGAGACAGGTAGACAAGGTTCAGAGTACACACAAGAATTTCCGAAGCCATTACTCCATCTGGAGAAGCTTAAGAATCCAAAATCATCCAATCAAGTGCTCCCAAAGGTATAGGAGGGAAGCCAAGAGCAGGTGCAAGAAGCGGCTGGATGAGCAGTGGCAAAGAGAGACTGCCGCAATAAAGATGGAAGTTGTACCGATCACAAGGAAAAAGCTTCTCTCCACCACGGGTAGCTAAAGGAGAAATCAGGGAGAACAAGCCCCCAGCAGCAGGGCACAACCAGCAGCTCTCGTAGAAAACTGACACCAGGCAACTAGCAGCAGAGGCGGGACCTTCAACCAGCATCCAGCAGCACAGTTATTAAGATCAGCATCTTGATTCTTTAGAACTGTTCACTGAACAAGGACCAGGGAAGTAACCAAGGGCAAATTAACGAGCAATTACACCTGAATTCGACCAATTCCATTATTAGTACTTGTAAAAACATACTCACATTCAAAGCAGGTCCTCATGCTACATGTTTTTAAGCACAGACAATGCGCGGATCAGCTGGAGCACTACAGACAAGTCCTTTCCAAAAGGCATCAGATATTAAAAGGGCTCTATTCTGATTTTAATGGTAGAAACATGCAAATGTGTCTCATACTCATTCCTGAAGTTTCCAGGTTGGGGGGGTGGGGTTAACATCAGTTCCTAAACAGGAGCATCAGAGAAGCATTGATTTAATCATCTGGGCACCTCCACCCATCAAACTTAATTGGTCACTGAACTCCCTTTTTAGGCATATTCATTTTACAGTGCTGGCTCTGGTACCATCTTCATCCTGGAAATCGATCCGATCGAGGACAGATCCCGGGGAAGCTGCCTCTTGAAAACAGCTTCCGTTCATCATGCTACTAAATCAAACATCCATGAGGCTGCCTCTACTGGAACGTCCCTAGAATCACCACAATAACCTCACGGAGACCAGAGTCTCTTTAACCAGTTCTACGCTGACTGCGATCGTTCACCAGAGACGGCTGTGGCAAAGGTATTTCAGAACTCACCAAGTTGCATCAACTGCAAAATCTCAGATGCTCTAGGAATAACCTCACGAGAGTTCGTCACGTTCACTTGATTTCTGTTCACTACCCAGTTAATGAGAAATACGGAGCTGAGGCCAGCAGGATGCCACAGCAAAACCATCTAAATGAGGCTCTAGGGCTGGGCAATTCAAGTCTTGAGATCCACCCTAAGAAATCCCAGCTTCTGGAGTCTTGTTGCTCTGCCAGCCAAGCCAGGCAGAGAGGTGCAAGCACATTAGGATGTCCCAGCCAGCCATAGCCACACGTATGAGGCATCACCATGGAATGAGACCAGCATGGGCAGCAGTCATCAATTTGCTCTGGTCAAACAAGAGTGCTTATTCGCTAAACTGTTCATCAGTTAACCGCAAAGTTTCACAACATATTATTCACCCAGCTCTCACTGTAACCCTCATGTCCAAGTGCACGGCCACCAGCTGGAGGCCAGGCAACCGACAGAGGCAGACGAGAGCAATGCAGCCGAACTCAAGCACTACACGATCTCAAGCCTGCCGTTATAGATTAGATTCTACAGCCGAAGGGAGAAAAGCAATGCCTTCTCACAAACGAATGCAGTTCTTACAGTAAACCCACTAGACACATGAGCATTCGCGTTATCATTACCACAGCATTTACCTAATATCTGCACCATTCATTCTGACCCAATCAGATAGTACAGGCAGTCCCCGGGTTACGTACAAGATAGGGACTGTAGGTTTGTTCTTAAGTTGAATCTGTATGTAAGTCGGAACTGGCGTCAGCCGCTGCTGAAACTGATCAGTTTCAACAGCGGCTGAATCTGGACGCCAGTTCTGACTTACATACAGATTCAACTTAAGAAACCCAGGCGTCCCCAAGTCAGCTGCTGCTGAAACTGATCAGCGGCTGATTCCAGGAAGCCTGGGGCAGAGCAACTCTG